AGGGCTGTGAGGGGGCAGGGGGCTTGGGGAGCTGGCTGAGGAAGGGGTATGTTGGGGGAGCTGGTGGTGCTGGAGGGAGTGGAGGCCATGGGGCAGGGGCGTCTGCCTGGCCCTGGGGTGCAGTGGGAGGGACTGAGTTAGGGCCTGGGGACCAGGGCTTTCCCTGAGGGCGTGTCCTGGCTCTGGGTGGCTGAGCTGCCAGGCCCGCTTGTCCCGCAGGAGGGCTGTACAGTGGTGAGGTGCTGGTGTGGGACATCAGCCGTCCTGAGGACCCGCTGCTCTGGCGCACAGGCCTGACCGACGACACGCACACAGACCCTGTGTACCAGGTCAGAGCGGTGCCTGCAGGCCGGGCAGGGAAGGTCCCCCCTGGGCCCTGTGGCCCTTCCCAGCGTCCCACAGGTGCAGGGTCAGGCTCCCAGCGGTCCTTTCTGAGGAAAGACGGGGAGGGACCGGAGCCCCTCTGGTAGGGATGCGGCTCCTGGAAGAGAAGGGCAGGGTGGAACCTGACTGCCCCTCCGTGGCCCACCCGCACCCCGCTGTCCTAGGTGCTCTGGCTGCCTGAGCCCCAACACGGGCACCGCTTCCGGGTGCTGAGTGTGGCCACCGACGGGAAGGTGCTGCTCTGGCAGGGGCTGGGCACTGGCCAGCTGCAGCTCACCGAAGGCTTCGCGCTGGCCGTGCAGCAGCTGCCCCGGAGCACCAAGCTGAAGAAGGTGCGGGGGCCTGGGCGTGGGCTGGCCCCGAGCCCGCTTCTCTGAGATGGCGGGTGAGCCCTGGGACCTGGAGATGGAGCCGCAGGCCCTGACCCTGCTGCATGCCCTTTCCCCACAGCTTTCCCGAGGTGAGACCGCGGTGGGTGCCACGGCGGTGGCTTTCTCCTGCTTTGATCCCAGCCTCTTCATCCTGGGCACCGAAGGCGGCTTCCCGCTCAAGTGTTCCCTGGCGGCAGAGGCGGCGGCCCTCACGCGGATGCCCAGCTCCGTGCCCCTGCGGGCACCCGCGCAGTTTACCTTCTCTCCCCACGGCGGGCCTGTCTACTCCGTGAGCTGCTCCCCCTTTCACAGGTAGGAGGGGCCGGCCAGGCCACCGCCATCAGCCCTGGGAGGGCTGCGCGCCCAGCACTGACCACCACCACCAGGCCTCTGCACGGTGCAGCACCGTGTCCTTCGACTCTGCCCCATTTGTGGCCCAGTGTCCACCGAAGAACTGCCTCTAGGCTTTGGGGGCGGGGAAACTGCCCCCAACCCCACGGGCCGGGGAAAAC